GCCCTGAAAAAGCAAATAGAACCGAGGACAAGTAACAGCTGGAACAGTCACCCTTGCCATCATCTTTGCCCTGGCTTGAGCCAAGCAGAATAACATGCTAAATACCCCAGGGTAAAGAAATGGGGACTAGAATAGCATTTCTGATGCTTTGATTGACACCCATCTCTCTAAACCTCCTTTCCACAGTAGCGAACTTTTACATATTTTTTCCCATTCCCACCCTGCCAGTATTCCAGCAATGCAAGCCAAGTTCAACATTCAAATGGAAATGCCAAGGTTCCTCTAGAAAAAGAGTTAGACCCCCAGATTAAAGGGAAATGGGGTGTGGGTGTGTGTGTATGTGTATGTGTATGTGTATGTGTATGTGTATGTGTGTATGTGTATCAATCAATGGCCTCCAGATTATATAGAAAGCCAAACTCTAATCCTCTGCAAATTGCGAGAGAACGCTACCTTTTTCTATTGCTGCATAGCGATTAGTTTCTTTCCTGAAAAAGTAATGGGAAGCTATTTTTTTCTTTTAAAAAAGGCAACTGTTTGGAATATTTTTACTACCAAATAACAGTGGTGGCAGAAGAAATCTTATTTTAATTAGGCAACTGCCAGTTCTGGCAAGAGCAATAGAAATTTGTTACTTTTTGTAAGTGTTTAATGTTTGTTTTTAAGAAAACTAAAAAAGCAATTTCAATAAGTCTGGTTATTCCAGCACTGACAGCAGGAACAGCTCTGAGGCGGTTATAATAACCTTGCACACTACTTGAAACTGAAGAAGGTGAGACAAAATTTAAATTGTATGGTAGGAAATTAGGTCAGACCTGGGCTCAGTAGGGTAATGCTTTTAATTTCTTATTATTGACAAGTAGGTATTGCTGGGGTCTATTGTCACATCCAGTGATTTTGTATTTTAATTTGCACCAGGTTCCCATCACCGCCTCAAGGAGAAGGGAAATGAGAGCTTATTATAGTTTGTACACATGAAAATAAGAGGGGACGTCAGAATTTGAAGGCTGTTCAGAGAGGCGTAGCTGATGCCAGACTTTGGAACCAGCAGAGTCAAAAAACCATAACATTTTTTAAACATGTAAAGTGTTTTAAGGATTATTTGTGCAGCCGGTCTCTGTGTTACTGTACACAGAGAATTTGGATCTGATATGCTGAACATCACTGTTCTCAGGAAGACTGAACAAAGATGTACCCACTAATGTATGAACAGATTTCAGAATTTCCTTTCTGTTTGGGCATGATGTATGGGGAGTGCATTTCCAATATGAAAAGTGAAGAGCAGAAAAGAGACAGCTACTAAAAATAGTACCACCCACCCTTCCACCGCCACCTCCCCAGCACAGCATATCTTTCTATAGTGTCTGTATATTTCAGGTAAACCTGAGCTGCTGCTCATGGAGTTACTGAGAATTCTCTAATGTTTGCCAAGATAGCCACAGAGTAATAAATAGAGCTGTAAAGTCTATATTGCTCACAGACAAAAAAAAATTGCTTTGTCCTGTAAGGTACAGTGTGGATAGGAGTTACGCAGATCTGTATTTAGCAATTCATCCTGTTAGCATTCCTCTTTCCAATCTATTGGGGGAGGGGGGAGAGGGTTCAATAATGTCTCAGGAGTGCTTAGACTTCAGCACAGACTGAAAATAGCCACATGCAGGGAAGTGAATATTTTGTTCATCATATGGCTACCAAAAAATATCTGGTCATTTTGGCTATGTTACCAACTGCTTTGGGCATTCAATGATTGGAAGATGGTTTTTATTTTTTCTAGTGTTGAGGCTTGGTCACACCCCTTTATTTATTTATTTTTTTCTTCCTTCCACTGTGCTCACTCCTTTTGCTTGACACTGGTTTGCAATTAAAGTGAAACTAAGGCTGCAAAGGTGAAATATAAATCTGTTTTTCTCATTACCTTGTATTGCTTAAAAAAGCAAAGGTTTGTGTGTTTCAGGGGAAGAAGGTAAAAGAAGATTGGCTTTTGGATTTGTGTAAGGTCATTTATCTGGGTTATTCAAGCCCCTCAGAATCGCAGGTCCTTGGGAAAATGAGGACCTAGAAAGGAGTCGTACTTGGTAACACACAATCAGGGATAGGAGTCAGGCCTTAACATTTCTTCTATCTCCCAGTAAAGGGAATTTCTGTTTAGTGAAGGACTGTTGGGTTAAAAAAATAATTTATAATTTTTTTTTCATAATGTAACCACTAGAATAAATTCCTTAAATAAAGCTAGAAATGTAAGTATATCCATAGTCGTGAGGGATTTTTTTTGGAGGGAGGGAGCTGCGTAAAAGCCCTCATTCACTCTAAGTGGGGTTCTCCTCTCACTTGTACACATGTCTCCCTTTTCAGTTGGAATTGCATTTGGTACAATGCATTTCTTGCTCGTGTCCCTCCGATTTGAAGTCCATTACGGATGGTGTCTCCTCAGAGTGGTTCTCTCTGTCTGGTTAGGTTTATCAGAACAGACAGACATTTTTCTGCCCATCCATTGAAGATGCTATAGTCCTCCCACATGTCATGGAGATGGATGCTATTAGTACTCAGCGTGTGTCACAAGAGCCTGGACACGTGGACACATGTGTTTCCCCCCCCACTCCTCCGTTCCTCCTTCCTGGTGCTCACATATGCATGGAAATGCAGGGTGGTCTCCGTAGCAAAGTAACCTTCCCTTGTTTGTGGGCACTTGTGGGTGGAATTGGTACGCGATCACTTTCCAAGCTAAAAAAGACCCAAGAACAAGCAGCACTTTTTCCATGAAGCTGCAAGCTGCAGTCTCCTTGTGCTGTGAATATCAAGTACCAATCCCACCACCCCATGTCCAGATCTTGAATTCACTTGGTCCTGGGGCTTCTTAAACCCCCTGAGGCATGGACTGCCACTTCTGCTCTTGCTCTTTTAAGACTTGGATGCCTATTCATTGCATGCCTTAATAAAGAATAGAAGAAAAAAAAAAGACTTGGATGCTATTCTGGCACATTCCCTCGACTGGGAAGCCCCTGGACATCCTCCTCAAAAGCGAATTGCCTCTGCGAAAAGTAAAACGGAAATGAACATGTTCGGGAAAGACGGAAACAGCCCTTACCCAGTGCACAGTCTCTTGTGAATTTCTTTCCGTAGCCTTCACCGTTCAAGTCACTGAATGGGAAATATCAGAGGGATGGTGTCGGAGGTTGTACAGTTTGGGGGGATACCCACGTGTTTTGTGACCTGATTGTGTTTTATTCATCAAACCACAATACGCATTTCTCCGTTTTGTTTCTTTCTTAAAAACAGAACTAAATCACGTGTTGGCCTTGCTCTTTACGAAGGGTCATTTAGCTTGGCTGACTTACGGTACCTGTGTTATAATCAACTGATAAAAGGTTTGCTTTTAGTGGGCCCTCATTTGGGGAGCACATTATAACAAAATGACCACGTAGTGGACACTAGAAGGTGCCAGACACTTGTTTATATCAACGAATCCAGGTGAGCATGCTTGCCTCTAATTTCCTGGCTAGTAGGGCACAGAGCCAGAATCCAAACCCAAGATTTAAAACCTCTGCTGAGGTTGCTTGACATTGTTGCCTCCCCTTGAAATGTCCGCATTTGAGCTGTTTTCTCTTCTCTCTATCCCCACCCTTCCCCAAAGATTATGAATAGGCCCTGAGTACGAGTCCTGAAATATCCTTCAAGGCTGCATTTTACTGTATCAAAGCCAGTCATGTAATCCCTGAAAACTGGAAATATGATGCTTTGGTGATTTATGTAGATGGGCCAAAGTAAGGAAAAGTATATGTAGTTATCTCTCCCGGATTTATTCATGTAATTGAAGGAGGAACAAGGGTGTTTTGTTCTTTTTTTGTGTGTGGCAGGAGCTGGTAGCCGGCAACCACACTTAGCTAAACTTTAAGAAATGGAAGAGAGCTGTGAATGCTTCATTCAGTCCCAAGTAAATATAGGAAAATGTGTAGTGGTGTATAGCATACCAATTTAAAAAGACATTCTAAAAGTAATGGGAAGAGAGAAGGTATGATGTATTAGTCAGGCGATGGATGTACGGTAAGCTGAAATGAAATACAGTTATCATGGATGGCTGATCTGGATATGGAGAAGAAAGTAATAGAAAAACGTCAGGGGCAGTTAGAGCAAATGAGAAGCGAGGCGGTTTATTTATTAAAGCAATGTCTAGGATCTCTCTTTGACAAAGTTGAAGGATACTTGTTGGCGTCCTTTCTGAATGTTCCCCATTGGACAGGAGAAGAAATCCTGATTTTCAGTTATCGATTATATAACAAGGTCATTTTATCATAACAGACATGCAACTGACTTGTAGGTACACAAAAGAAACAAATTCTGGTTACCAAATATGTTCATATGGCTTTTACCTTTTTTTAAAATATATATATCTTTTATTGATTTTTTTTACAGAGAGGAAGAGAGAGAGGTAGTGAGTTAGAAACATTGATGAGAGAATCATCGATCAGTTGCCTCTTGCATACCCCCTACTGGGAAGTGCCCTCATCAAGGTGCATGCCCTTGACCGGAATCGAACCTGAGACCTTTCAGTCCACAGGCCGATGCTCTATCCACTGAGCCAAACCGGTTCTGGCAGGCTTTTACCTTTTAAAAAATGTATTTGTTTAGATTTCAGAAAGGAAGGGAGAGGGAGAGAGATAGAAACATCAGTGATGAAAGAGAATCATGGATGGACTGCCTCCTGCACGCCCCCTCCTGGGGACCGAGCCCACAATCCAAGCATGTACCCTGAGTGGGAATCAAACCGTGACCTCTTGGTTCACAGGTTGAAACTCAACCTTTGACCCATGCTGGCCAGGCTGCTTTTACCTTTGAAAGCAATGGTAGGAGCTTTTCCGCTTGGAAGATGAAAATTCTCCAAACGATGAAAGTCCTTTGAAGTACAGATTCTTAATGATTGAAAAGCAAACCAGGCCTTCCCCCCTTCCTTTCCTCTACTACCCATCATAAATCCTAAAGTCTTTCTTTGCATTTCGTTTTAGCCACGAGACCCAAACAACATGCTGGGACCATCCCAAAATGACAGAGCTCTACCAGTCATTAGGTAAGGACATGGCCGTGTTTCTTACAGTGGATTGTATGTGCAAGTCATTTGTTGTCTTAAACATTTCACTAGATTGTTTAAAGGGTCAAAATGACATCTTCCTACCCCACCTTTCCTTTTTTCAGATGTTCCTTAAAAATAAGTTTTAGAATTTCACTGATTCCTGGAAATTTAATATCCCCGAGTGGGCCGAAAGGTCTCCCGGTTTTCTTTGAGCCTAAAAAGATAGCAAAAATACCTGCAATTTATGGCAATTTTTTTCCCTCCGCCAAGGAAGAAAGCTGTTTGGAGTTGCTCTTATTGATCCCTTCCTTGCAAAACCAAGACATCGTTTTGCCAAGCCACAAATGTTGTGCAAAGGGATTTTCTGCAGTCTTTCCAGGGCTTATAACTTCTAAGCCTGTCAGGTCATCAGTGTGAACATTTAAATGACTTCCCTCCTATGGCTTGTTCTGTGTTCGTGTGAGAGCCTGACAGTTATTTTACTCCTCATAACTTGGAATTTATTTGAACAGATACACAGTCTCCAAATAAGGGGAAAACACCAGTCCTTTTCATGATGGATGAAGGTCCACTCTATACCATTGAAGTTCCGTCTGCAATCATCTAAAATGAATTCCGTTACATTTGTCACTAATTGCTGCCCTTGTTTTCAAAATATATTTGTATCGATTTCAGAGAGGAAGGAAGAGGGGGAGAGAGAGAGAGAGAGAGAGAGAGACGTCAGTGATGAGAGAAAATCACATGGCTGCCTCCTGCATGCCCCACACTGAGGATGGAGCCTGCAACCTGGGCATGTGCCCTGATGGTGAATCGAACCGTGACATCCTGGTTCATAGGTTGACCTTCAACCACTGAGCTACACCAGCTGGGCTAATTGTTGTTTTTAATAAAAAAATAGTCTTGTCTTCTCTACTACTAAAAAAATTTGCCTGCTTTTCTGTGAATGGATGTATTTACAGATAAAAATGCATGAGGTGAACTTATGTGACAAAGCCCATGGGAATCAGGATACTTAAACAAATTGTGTAGACATAAATCTATGTTGGGTATATGTGTGTATCTGTCTGCTTGTAGCAATTACTACATTTCTCTCATAGGTTTCTATTGATTAATGAATTACAGCTCTAGAGACTTAGGAATGGGGTATTAGCCCAAAAAAAATCATTTTCCTAAACTTTTTCTACTTATAAATTATGTAAGTTTATTCTAGAAAATCTAAAAAATACAAATAAAAAGCATGAAAAGAAATCACATAAATCTAGCCAGACATATCTATTACATTTCAGTGAAATATTTTGTTTTTACTTTCAGTGTAGCAGTGTGTGTGTATGCGTGCACATACATACATACATACACATACACACCTTTTAAAATTGTAATAAAATTTAGATCAGACAGATAACTTTTAAGTGCTGCGTTTTCAGCCCCTACAGAATGTTTCTGGCTTATAGTGCTGCACTGGTTAGACCACAGGTAGTAAATTTGAATGCTTAGATTTTGACAAATGAGAAAATGAAGAGTTTATCTGATGTGGGCAGAGTCTGTGTTGGGCAAACTGATAGTCCCAGCACAGAGTTCTCAGGACTTCAGATTTTTCAAGAGAAACTAAAAATCTGTCAATAAAGAGCTAATTTAATTTTGTCCATGGGCCTCCTGATTATAACCTTTGGTTCACACAGACTCAAACCACTCATCATTTTCACTCTAATTACAGTGATCTCTAGTGATAATCTTTTAATTTACCTTCATTTTTAAATTATTATTATTATTGTGGAGTTAATACTGTTTCGTAGTTTTTAGTTTAAAAATATACACAGGCTGCTGAAACCGGTTTGGCTCAGTGGAAGAGCGTCGGTCTTCAGACTGAAAGGTCTCAGGTTCCATTCCGGTCAAGGGCATGTACCTTGGTTGCGGGCACATCCCCAGTGGGGGGTGTGCAGGAGGCAGCTGATCAATGTTTCTCTCTCATTGATGTTTCTAGCTCTCTATCCCTCTCCCTTCCTCTCTGTGGAAAATCAATAAAATATGTATTTTAAAAAATATTAAAAAAATACACAGGCTAACAAATGAAAAAGAAAAGAGAAACCATCTAGCCCCCTTTAGAATTAACTAAAATTTAATAATATAGTAGGTATCTTCAAAAATTTCTTTCCCTACATATCTTTTTACAAAAGTTTGATCATTATGTTTTATAGTTAGCTTTTTTTAAAAAAATATTTTATTGATTTTTTTTTTTTTACAGAGAGGAAGGTAGAGGGACAGAGCTAGAAACATTGACCAGCTGCCTCTTGCACACCCCCCACTGAGAATGTGCCCGCAACCAATGTACATGCCCTTGACCGGAATCAAACCTGGGACCTTTCAGTCCGCAGGCCAATGCTCTATCCACTGTGCCAAACCGGTTTCGGCATATAGTTAGCTTTTTTTTTTTTTTTAAAGGTATATTACCTAAAAGTAATGTACCATGGTCATATTTCCATTCTATTGTATTGGATTACCTACCATCTAGCTTTTAATTACTGTGTAATGTGAAGTCACAAATACGGTTGATAAAAAAGCTAATTGTGAACTGTCAATGAGCTGGTGTCTGTACCTTCAAAAGGAATTAAATACAATTTTATAATATTTCTAAAGCTTTCTCAGGAAGCTGGATGTGATGGTAAACTCAAAGCTCACTGGTGTCCAGCATCATTTGTAACCTTGGGCAAATCACCTGCCTTAGGAACATAATGGAATTTTACAGTTGCAGGGAAATTTAGAGCTTGTTTATTACCAACTTTTTTTTTTGCATGAAATCAACTATATTGAGGTCATTTACACAAAATAAAATGTAGCCATCATAAATACATTATTTCCAACCCCCTTTGAAATACTGTTTTTTGATACCCTAATAACAAACATTTTGGAAATGAACTAGGAGTCAAATTTGTTTTTTAGCTTTCAGAACCAATATTCCAGTATTTTTGTTACAATCAAATGTTACTTTTCTCCAATCGTGACTTAACCACATAACATGTCCATTTTTTATTTTATTTAAAAAATTTTAAAATATTTTTATTGATTTCAGAGAAGAAGGGAGAAGAGATAGAAACATCAATGATGAGAAAGAATCATTGATGGGCTGCCTTCTGCATACCCCACATGGGATCGAGCCCGCAACCAGGCATGTGCCCTGACTAGGAATCGAACTGTGACCTCCTGGTTCATTGGTCAATGTTCAACCACTGGGCCACACCGGCTGGGCACATGTCCATTTATTGAGTCTACTCTCTGTGCTGCACGTGTAACATGTCAGCAGCCATCATGCATGGTGGATGATATCCACTGCCATATTACACAGGGCAGCGAAGTCAGGTACAGAGAAAGCATTTATCAGGACTACACAACTGTAAGGGGCTCCACTGGTGTTTGTCCTGGGGCTTCTGTTATTTTCACTTATCTCATTGAGTTTATTAACTTAGTAAAGTATGTCCATGTAGGTTGCTGTGTATGCACCTGCTTTATCTATAGATAGTTATTCAAATGGTATTTCTGGAACAAACCATTGCTCTTCTAGCAATAGTATGGTGGGTTCCTAGACAATAGGCACTCCTTCTTTCGCTGTTGCCAGTTGCACATGGAATGATTGATTTAGTTTGTCATGTGTCTACATCCCTAAGTTAACCTACAAGATTGAGTACCATCACCACCCTTATCAGCCCTAAATTATGGTGTTTCAAAGTTAAAATATTAGCAGAACATCCCAAAAAGTAAATTTGTATTTCTATTTTATTTTATTTTTTGTTAATACTCACCTGAGGATATTTTTCCATTGATTTTTTAGGGAGACTGGAAGAGAGAGGGAAAGACAGAAACATCAATGTGAGAGAACATATTAATTGGTTGCCTCCTGCACAAGCCCAGACCAGGGCCTGGACCCAGGCCCGGGCCCGGAAGGAACCTGCAACCAAGATATGTGCCCTTGACTGCAATTGTACAGATGACCCTTTGGCCTGCAGGCAGATGCTCTATCCACTGAGCCAAACCAGCTAGGGCTTCTTTTTTATTTTATTTTATATACGTTTTTCCTCAAGAGGTATCTCTTTAGATCTAATTTGCTATTCCGAGCTGGATGAAACGATTGGAAGCCTTCAATTGCACTCAATTCATAAAAGGTATCATGGCGTCAAACCTGGTGTTGTGTGTGTGTTAAATGTTTTAGCCATACTTTAGCAGGTCCCTCTCCTGATCAAACCCCAGCCTGTCTGCGGAAACATGTTGAAAATATGAGGACGTGGCCTTTCCCCATCATACCCCTCCTCACCCACTTCAGACATACCTTTACTGTGGATGCTGCAATTGCTCACAAAATTCATGAAATGTTACACATTCCTAAATATGCCCACTTCTGAGGAGGTTTTCATAGTCTAATTCGGCAAAATCCCCAACCAGCCTTTTCAACACACTCTGTTACCTGCCTTGCTTCCAAAAGCATTCAAGTGTTGCCCCCTACCCGGGGTCTGAACAGCACAGTGGTGTCAGGCAAGAACATTTTGTAAGGACCGAAAAAGTAGCACTTGAGCATTAACTTGGAAGGCTGCACTGTTTCTTGAAATGTTAATATTGGAGAGCTCTAGCGAATAGCATTCCAGCTGGTTTTTCTTTTCATTCTTCTTTCCCCAATTTTCTACAGTGGATTTATATTATCTACAATTACATATTTAGCAAAAAGGTTTCATCATCAGAACTCCCTACCCCATTTCTCAGTGTCCCTATGGTTGTAATTAATTAACCAATGAGCACCTATGGCAGCAAAGCTACCATAGACACACTCACACACACACTCACACACATGCACTCCCACACATATATGCATATACAGAATTTATGTTTAAATTCCCTGATTCCCATAGACTTTCTCGGGTAAATTTAAACACAAAGAGATCTTCTCACGGGTTGTTATTCTCTAAATATGTTCATTCACAAAAAAGCAGGCTTAAAAATGTTTCGTGTTAGAG